TTTTTTGCGGTACGCGGGCCTCTCACTGTTGTGGCCTCTCCCGTTGCGGAGCACAGGCTCCAGATGCGCAGGCTCAGTGGCCATGGCTCACGAGCCCAGCCGCTCCGCGGCATGTGGGATCTTCCCGGACCGGGGCACAAACCCGTGTCCCCTGCATCGGTGGGCGGACTCTCAACCACTGCGCCACCAGGGAAGCCCTCTGGTTTATCTTTAATGCCTCCCTAAGCTCCTATTTTGACCAAGAGAGAGCATTCTGCAGATGAGAGAATTAAGGTATAATGTAACATTGTTCGGTTTTTACTGGGCTTACTTTTACAATTATATTTTATTTATGGCAAGTGGTGCTGTTTTCTTAGCTTTATGAAATTTCCTTTTAAAATATATTTATTTCAGTAATAAATGAATAGATTTAAAGACAAATATAGAGAAAAACCATAGTACAGTTGCTTTGCAGTGATAACAGAAAATGGGGACATGGTGGTTAAATGGAATCTAATGTATCCTGAGTGTGGTGATGCAGTTGGGGTCTACATGGCCCCAGCTGACTGGCTGAAGAATGACAAGCTGGGTTAAACTGCCAGCCCATGACTGTCCAATGAGCTTTCCCTGATTCGGACCAGCTGACCTGGTTTCCTTTGTTTGCGACCAGCACCACCTGGTTAATTTTTAACTAATCTCCATAAGTAAACTCTTTGCATTTGGGTGGAGATTTCTTTTGTTTTTTAAAGATTTTTTTCTTTTGATGTGGGCCATTTTTAAAGTCTATTGAATTTGTTACAATATTGCTTCTGTTTGATGTTTTTTTGGCTTTTTGGCTGCGAGGCATGTGGAATCTTAGCTCCCCAACAGGGATCAAACCCCCTGCGTCGGAAGGAGAGGTCTTAACCACTGGACCGCCAGGGAAGTCCCTTGGGTGGAGATTTCCTGAAGCCATCCTTTCAGACCCAGAGAGTCAAGAACAGCATAGTTAAGGCTCCCCCATTTCAGACTTCTGCTAGTTCTGTGTGCTGGTGAGTCTGCAGATCACACTAAGCTCCCTGAGGCTGCTCCAGTGCCCAGCCAGCTCTGGGCATCTCGGCCCGTCCACTAGCACTCAGCACATGGAAAGTGTTCAATAAATATTTTCACACAGAGCAAAGACTGGAATTGAGGCCATTTCATCTTCTCCCCTCATATGCCTTTTTACAAACCATAAAAGATATATACTGTTACGGAAAACAGAGAAAATTCAGAGCAGCAAAACAAGAAATTAATGTTTAAAAAATGTTTAAAAAAGCGCATTGTAATCCTTTTGGCATACAAGTGCGTAATACTGGGGGTCCTTTAGTAAACACCTTTTTTAACCTGTTCAGCCACCCCATCTAATCCATCTTTCCCTGGGATTCACTGTTCTTCTGCTCCATTACTTTCGATCACCTCCCTCTCCTCTGCCAGGGTAAAAGAATGGGACCACAGAAGGGACTTGACCTGCCCAAGGCCACACAGCTGGCATGTGCAAGTGGGCGAGTGGGTGAGTGGCCCTCTCCAAGCAGCTTTGCTGCGGCCCCTCACAATGGGATGGAGGGGGCAGGTACCCAGGAAGCTGAGTCTCCTGTAACTTCTCACCTTGGTTCTACTTCCCGCAGGGCCAGGGCTGTTTCCACCTTGGGGAGCAGAAGTGATGATGTCTGCAGAGGGTGCACCAGCCCTGAAAGCTCTAACAGGAGCAGAGGAGGTCACGGGATGGGAAGGAAAATCAGAACTCAAAACTAGAGAAATGGAAACTGTCTGCTTGCAGATGGCCATCTCGTGCAGACTGAGCTTGGGGAACAGCAACCACTTCTGGGAACAGGGCTTCTAGGGACTTTCCTGCTTGTGGTGTCCGCTGTGGATGTGCCAGTCATGAACATTCACACGCTTCAGGTCCCCCCTCACCTCCCTCCTGACTTAAGGAGCAAAGTTGAAAGCTGATTGAAAATCTCCAGGGAGGCTTTACAAATACCAGAGAATGCTATTATTTAAATGTATATATTTGCATTTAGAAATGTGTAGGAATTCCTTGGCAGTCCAGTGGTTAGGAGTCAGCGCTTTCACTGCCATGGCCCGGGTTCAGTCCCTGGTCAGGGAACTAAAGTCCCACAAGCTATGAGTCACAGCCAAAAAAAAAAAAAAAAAAAAAAAACTGTGTATAGCAAAAGCATTAGAAATGTAAATTTCCTTGCACTAACTAGTCTCATTTTTAGACTTTTACCCTGAGGAAATCATAAATAAACACAAAATGCATATATAGGGGCTTCCCTGGTGGCGCAGTGGTTGAGAGTCCGCCTGCCGATGCAGGGGACACGGGTTCATGCCCCGGTCCGGGAAGATCCCACATGCCGCGGAGCAGTTGGGCCTGTGAGCCATGGCCGCTGAGCCTGCGTGTCCGGAGCCTGTGCTCCGCAACAGGAGAGGCCACAACAGTGAGAGGCCTGGGTGCCGGAAAAAAAAAAAAAAAAGTATATATAGGGTGTTCATTTCAGCTATGCTTTTAATAGCAAACCCTTGGTAATAACCTAATGCCCAGTGACAGAGGACTGAGTGAGTAAACTGTGGTATGTCTTTGTGATGGAATAATTGACAGCCAATGAATATATTGAGCATTTACCATATTCCAGATATTGCATGTGAAGATTTATATATGTTACTTTGTTTAGTCTTCATGTATGAGTGAGGCACTACTACAATCTCCATTTGCGGGTAAGGGAACAAAGACACAGAGAGCTTAAGTCTCTTGGTCCCAGACATATTAAGTGGTAGAGCCAGGATTTGAACCCAGGCCCGTCTGACAGCAAAGCCTGCACTTGCCACTGCTAAGCTACAGTGACCAAGGCCACCATATATGGCCATGCAGGTTGCATACTGCACAAAGTACCCAGTGGAGAAGCTTAAAGTCTATTTAGGCTCAGCTCTCCAAGCCAAGAGCTTCATCTGCCCAGAGGGGGCCACCTTTTCCAATGCACACCAAGCACTGTGTGGGCTAGCAATGGTCTGGCAGATGCCTCCTACCTGTCATAGGCACAGTGTGTGCTCTTCTTGATCGTGGTATCCTCTTGGTCCCCGATCAGCCAAATGAACTTGGGGTCAGTCCTCAGGCGGATGTTCTTCCAGGCCTTCTTGGGGACGTAGCTGCAGCCGGCATTGAAGTCACCCATGAAAATAAAATTCTGAAAGACAAGATTCAAAACTGTCACCTGTAGGCATTGTTGTCTAATGCTTTCAGGCAGAACTGGTAGCAATGACTCCACCTCGCACACCCAATAAACGATGAGTTCTATTATCAGGTGAATTGTGTCCCCCCAGATTCATAAAATTCATATGTTCTAACCCCCAGTACCTAAGAATGTGACTGTATTTGTAGATGACCTTTAAAGAGCTAATTCAGGTATAATGAGGTTATATGGGTGGACCCTAATCTGATGTGACTCGTGTCCTCATAAAAAGAGATTAGGACATAGACACAGAGGGAAGACCAAGGAGAGAGGCCTCAGAAGAACCAAACCCTGTTGCCGCTTTGGTCTTGGACATCCAGCCTTCCAGAACTGTGAGGATATACATTTCTGTTGTTTAAGCCACCCAGTCTTTGGTACTTTGTTACGGCAGCCCTAGCAAAATAATAAAGGGTCTTAATTTCATTTTACTTTTTAAAAGAAGAGGCCACAGTTTAAAACTGAGTCACAGTTCTGATGAGTATTTGACAGGCGAGTATGACATGGAAGTGTGTTCTCAGTGGGAAGAAGGCTGTTTGCTGTAGCTGCTCCCTCCTGTTCTTAGTCCCCAAATCTCTCTAATTTGGGGCGCAGATTTAGGTGGGGATGGAAGAATCCAGCGCAGTTATTCCCTCACTTCTTTTGTCTCTGGCTTAAACTACTGTAAGGTATAAACATATGAATGAATTGATGCCTTTTGTTTCCAAGCGGGGAAAATGAACTCGGGTGGTATATTTGACAGCTTTGGCACTGCTCTTTCTCTCCTCTTTTGAAGCTAGGAACTTACTCCCGTGGAAATTTTGCCTACTGGGGAAGTGAGAAGAGGCTTAAGTGGGGGGTGGAGGTGGGGTGATAGAATGAGCTGTCCGCCTCTGCCCCGAAGCCACCATCAGAGCATTCTATCTTGGAAGTGTTTTTCCTTGCAGGGCTCTTGAAACAGAATTTTAATATTCCTCAAGAGGAAACGCAGATTTCCTTGTTTGTGCTATCGTTTGGCGTTGTTGCTAACTTTAGAGTTTTCGTCAAAAATATTTTATTTTGACCTTGGGTATCATGGTTTTCCCTGAGGTCGGTGGGCGCAGTTGAGGACAGGATGTCATCCTTAACCCGAGTGTCAACCAGCTTCTATTAATATAGGCATGATTTATTGAGCATTCACTGTGTACCAGGCTCAGCGTTAAGCATTTTCTAAAGTTTAATTTAAATCTAAGAATAAACACCAGGAGGTAGAAGGAACCTTTGACAGCCCTGTGGAAAATGGATAGAGGGGTAAAGTGACCTGCTCTAGGCTATTGAACCCTGATCAGCCTCACTGAAGGCCCCTCCCTCAGAGCACAAGAGTTTCCCCTCTTGTTCATTTTTGTGCCACTGATGGCTCCCCACTGCCTGGCACTTAACAGATGCTCAATAAATTCTTGCTGAATGAATGAGTGGAATTTATAATTTTAGGAACAAATGAGTCTTTCTCTTGCCCTGCTTTTTACAAATAAGCAACGAAATATACCCCTTGTGTGCGCCAGGCCCCAGCTCTGTGTCCACACTTTATTTGACTGACTTTGCACTTTGAGCAGCAGAACTGAGGAGGAGGAAGGGGGTCACTGGAGTCATATCTCAAAAGGAGAAAAGAGGAATGAGGAAGAGCCCTCTGAAGCACTTCCATATTTGCCAAGAGCTTTCATAGGCCTCGCAGACACAGGAGGTGGCATCCCTGTTGTCCACATGAGGAAATAATTGAAACCAAGAGGGATGGTGGATGTATTCCCCTTCTGTGAGAATAGCACCCCTAATTTCTTTGGGAAACCAGCTCCCTCCTCCACCTTAGCCCGTGAGGTTGGGGTAGAGCTGAAACAGACTTAACCAATCAGAGCATCTCAACCACCTGATCACAGTGATTGGTTCAGGGACGGACATGTGACACAATCATAGCCAATGAGACTCAATCCCAGGGTATTTGTTGCATTGTGGGGCAGAAAATTTGTTAGTTGCTCTGGAAGCTGCTGGCAGCTATCTTACCATCCCAAGGGTGGAGGCAGCCTGAGAATGGAGCCCACCCAGGGGAAAGGAAGGTCAAGAGATGGAGAGAGAGACAAGACAAGCCCTGATTACCTTGTCTGAGCCCTGGGTCCATCTATGCCTGAACCAATAAATTGCTCTTCCTTTTCATGAGCCATTTTGAGATTCTGTCACTTGTAGCTGAAAGACTCCTGACCTCTGTTTGTCTTACTATTCTCAGTCGTGAAGTGGGAATGATCAAAATAGTTATCTCATCAGGCTATTGGGAGGATTAAATAAACTTGTCCATGTCCAGTCTTAGCATAGTGCCCGGCACCAGGTACTCATTCGTTCAGTGAATGTTGGCAGCCATAATTAGTGGAGCAGTGTATGAATTCCCAAGGCCCACATGGATGGTACCCAAGCAGATTCAGCAGAAAGATATTTAGGGCTGAGGAAAGGCCTAAAATGAGGCTCTAAAGTGGTGGTGGTCTGCACAGGCCCTGCGTCCTCGCCCTCCCTCAGAGCCACTCATGCCTCTCAGGGACCAGATTCTGCCCCTGCTAGATGGGCATTCAGCAGACACAGAGGGTCATCACCTCCGCCTTCCAGTGACGTTTCACATCCGTATAGACATCAGCCAGCTCATCAATCTCTTTAACGGATGTCTCAGGGGTGGTGTGCAGGGGAACGATCACGAAGTCCTTGACAGCTGAGGAAGAGGAAAGAGGCAGAGGTCACACATTTCCTCTGGCAAGATTCCACGAATACTGCTTGAGGGAAACATGCTGTCCCCCCAAAAGGCATGACTGTGCCGTCTGGGGCCCCCCATTTCCAGAGGGTCCAGTGGTTGAGATTTGAATGATCTTAGGGTCATAAGGCAGCTATTCTCAGCACACAAAAGCCTCTTTTCTCCGACTCACCCTGCGTGGCTAAGAGAAAGCTGGTAGACAGTGTTCCTCACTGGCATTGTGGGTGTTTTTATTTTCTCATTTTAAAAAACCCTGTATTTTCTATTTTTTAAAAATATGAAGGCTGTTTGGCTTTGTACTAAGAAAAAAATGTTTTTTCTAATTTAAAAAATTGAGGCTTGTCAGTTTGTACTCCTTTTGTAATCAGAAAAAAAAAAAAAAAAAGCCTGGAAAAGTTTACTTAAAACACAAAGTGGTCCTTTGTGGTGTGTCTGAAAACCTCCCCCACCAGGAGGGACTGAGGGAGCCTGAGAGAGGGGATGTGGGCGTCTTGCCCATCTGTGTCGTTCTGAATACCTCCTCCTCGGGCTTTCCCTTGTTCTGTGCCTGGGTCCCCACTCCTACTCAGGAGCAGGGGGCTGTTGAGTGATCACTGCTCAAGTCCCACAGCAGGGAGCCAGGACTCAGACCGGCAGCCTGTCTCCAGGACCACGCCCTGGTCCAGCAGCCTGTCTCTCACTCTCCCTCGCACTCCTCCTCTCCACTCCCCAACCTCTTTTTGGTCCCCTAAACACCCCAGCTCCTTTCCCACCTCTGAGCCTGTGTGCTCACTGTGCCCTCCGCCCTCCAGAATGCCTTTTCCACCACCTCTCTGTGACTGGCTTCTTCGGGTCACAGCCACTGTCACCTCCAAGGGGCCATCCCTGATTGCCCTGTTTAAGGTGGCCCCTCACCCCGCTATTCAGTGAACCCTGCTTACTGCCTTCATGCTCTGAAATTACCTGCTTAGCTCCTTAGTTTGGCCCACTGGAACCTAAGCTCTGTGAGAGCAGGCTTATCTGTCTCGTTCACCCTCTTGGCTCCAGCACCTAGCACCGTGCCCGGCACATTGGAGGTGCTCAGAAATGTTTGTTGATCGAATACATGAATGAATGAATGAGAGAATGAATGGAGGAAAGAAAAGATAGATGAATGGCCAACTCCTTCATCTTTAATCCCAAACAGGCAGGACATAAAGACATTTCCTTGGGCAAGATAGAAGACTCCAGACATGACACAGCTGTAGTGCCATCCCAGCCGGGGTGGGTGTGTGGGAGGGAGGGGTAGGGAAGGGTGGAAGCTCCAGACAAACAGGTTTGTTCAGCAGTTCACAAAGGCTGAGGACTCTCTCAGAGAAGAAATAATGATTTGGTGGGGAGGGCCTCTCCTAACACTGCCAGGTGAGCTAAAGGTGAGTTGTGTGCATGACAAAGACAATTATTGAACATGCTCTCTGAAAGGCATCTCTTGCCCTCAATAGCCCCCCTCTCCTCATTTTTTTTTGTTTTTTGTTTCCTGCTGGGAATTTCCTACTATTCTCTCATGTTTGTTTTCCTGAAATACTCTGCCCCTGAGCTAATTAACCCTCTGCCAAAATAGTGAACTTCATAGTTCAAGATGTTAATATTTGCGTAGTATAGATATAGGTGTTCATATGTACAGCTCTGCATATATTTATTTGGTCATTATCTGTCTCCCCCGCTGCAACATAACTTCACAAGGGCAGGGACCTTTCGTCTGTCTTGTCCAGTGCCCAGAACAGAGCCTGACATGTAGTGGGTGTTGAAAAAATATTTGATTCTATATAGTTCCAGTCTATAAACCAAATTAATTCTTGACCGTCCATTGAGGGTTGCATGGTGGTAAAAAGTGTGGGCTCCCGAGGTGCCAGTTTGAGTTGCAACCCTGGCTCGTCCACTTCAGTAACTGCTGGGTCACCTTGAATAAGTGACCCCATCTATCTGAACCTCGGTCTCTTCCAATGTAAAGTGGAGATAATCCTAGTTGCTACCTTGCAGGGTGTTGCAAAGATTACAGGAACCTGACGCTAATCAGGGATCAATAATTGTTAGTGACTAATACAAGTACTATTGTTGTCAGAGATCAGGGTGCAATCTTTTGGATTTCCTCTTCATCCCCAATCTGTGCGGGAGATTGCTCAGTGGGTACTGGAGGGACGGTGCGATTCTAGGTTGGGAGATCACCTTTGCTGGCCATTGCTCGAATTTTTCAAATGAAGGAATAGCTGTACTTGATTGGGACTAAGGGATTTTTGTAAATAATTTCCATCAGCCTAAATGCTCCAAAGATTGCAGCTCTATTTACAATAGCCCGGAGATGGAAACAACCTAAGTGCCCATCGTCGGATGAATGGATAAAGAAGATGTGGCACATATATACAATGGAATATTACTCAGCCATAAAAAGAAACGAAATTGAGCTATTTGTAATGAGGTGGATAGACCTAGAGTCTGTCATACAGAGTGAAGTAAGTCAGAAAGAGAGAGACAAATACTGTATGCTAACACATATATATGGAATTTAAGAAAAAAAAAATGTTATGAAGAACCTAGGGGTAAAACAGGAATAAAGACACAGACTACTGGAGAACAGACTTGAGGATATGGGGAGGGGGAAGGGTGAGGTGTGATAGGGCGAGAGAGAGACATGGACATATATATACTAACAAACATAAGGTAGATAGCCAGTGGGAAGCAGCCGCATGGCACAGGGAGATCAGCTCGGGGCTTTGTGACCGCCTGGGGGGCGGGATAGGGAGGGTGGGAGGGAGGAAGATGAAGAGGGAAGAGATATGGGAACATATGTATATGTATAACTGATTCACTTTGTTATAAAGCTTTACCATTGTAAAGCAATTATACCCCAATAAAGATGTTAAAAAACAAACAAACAAACAAACAAAACCTTAGGGTCCAGAAATAAAACAGAGCTTTATCTTAAAACAAAACAAAACAAAACAAAAATGCTCCAAAGAGAGTAAGGTTATCATTGATTTAAGAAAGCGGCTTCTTAGCTGAGGGAGTCTTGCGTCGTGGCATTCTGAGAACCCAGCCTAGTGTCGTCAAACTATACTGTATCCTCTACATTCAAGTGTTAGAAGTTCTTAACGGTCATCTCAAGCCTGATGCCTCACTAAAGGTGCTGCATAAACCCTGGGATCACAGCCCGCACTCAGGGCTGCTGCCCGTTGATGGGATCGCTGGGGACATCAGGGGTGAGAGGGGCCTGTGGGTCTCACCGGTGTGGGGTGACTGGAACCAGACCACAAAGGGTTCCCTGGAAAATACATCTGCATCGCCAGCCTGATAGTCATGGTAAAGGTAGCTTGCTTTCACAGACACTAGCTTTTCCCTAGAAGAAAAAAAAAAAGAAAGTTCTCCCAATGAGTTGGTTGCCTTCTTCTTTCAAGAAGCAGAGATATAGGTTCTCACAGCTCTGTTGGCCTCCCCTGCAGGCCTGAGCGCTGGAAGGGATCTTTAGCCTGAGAACAAGGCTCAGTCAAGTCTTCTCAAGGACCAGAGCCCTTTGGGAGCTGAAGATCTAAGCAATACTAGTTATCTAGGGAACTCACAACTTAAAGGTCAGATTCAAAACAAATTATTAGTAGGAAGAAGATGAGAATATGAAGTCCCAGAGCAGCCATGCTGGGCAGCTCAGGTTTCCATCGCCAGCCAGGACTTGACCATGAAGATAAAAGAAGTCTTCACTCTCCTGACCAGGTCACTGAGTCAACCAGTAGATTAGTTTTGAAGAGTTAATACTTTGCATCAGCCCTGATCTTGACAGCAATTATTTTGATCAGTATTGAGAACTGGTTAGAGATCCAAACTTGGTTTTAAAGGAAAGATTTTGATTCTATTCACAGTCATAATTGATAAGTGAACCATGTTCCAGCAAGCATAATTTATACTTACTTGTAGAGAAAGGCATACTGTTCTTTGTATGTGTTTCTTCCAAGACGAGAGCTAATCACATAGTTATATGTTTTGCCTCTTCTTGAATTTCTGGAAGACAGAAAGGAGTTTACATTGCATCTTAAAGAACAAACATTTCTCTACTGCCTAGGTTCCCCTCCTTCCAGTCTGCCTCTGTATCTCCCGTGACGTCATGTAGGAGGACTTCTGTTCATCATAAGCTTTGAGTCTCATAAGAAGGGCCACCACCATTGACTGGAACTGTAACATCTACCAGGATCTTTACAGCCATTATTTCTTGTCCTTATAAGGTGGGTACTATCGTTACTCCATTTTTATAATTTGCAAGTACAAAGCTGGGATTTGAACTCAGATCCTACTCACCCCCAAATCCACCTGCTTTGGCCTGTACCTGGGGGACACCACTGAGACCATGAAAGATTCAGGCCACGATCAGCCCCAAACACTGTTCTGGCCCATGGCTGGGCTGCACCTCATACTTCCTGGTGGAGTATACCTCACTAGGTCACCCTGTCCGTGCACCACTCCTGAGCATTTATCACATGCAGGATTCCCAGTAACATTTTTTTGGACATTCTCTTCTGCTCTGAAAACCCCCAGGCATTTTCTCACAAGTCCTGGAGCTATTATTCCAAATCAGCTGTTGTTTCGTCCTGGGGGGCTGAGGATATTGTCCCGAAGTCCCATTGATCCTACCCTTCACCCTTATCAGGGAAACTTGACTCTCAGATGTGTTTGCCAAACTTGCTGATAACTCCACCCTGGGCAGAGCCTACTTCATCTGCCCACGAGAAGATCTGGGGCATGTCTAAGCTGTGGCGTACCCTCAGCTTCCGTTGGAAAAAAGCAGAATGTTTAGGGCTCAACTTAGACCCTACGGAAATTCCTGGGAATGAATATTCTAAGGCAGATCTGGTGATGGGAGCCCCAGGAGTGCAGACAGTGGATTCTGCTGGGCTTCCAGTTTGGGAAGGCTGGCCCTATCCTGAATCTAGCCTTGCCAAGTCCTGGGTTGGCAAACTACTCGCAATGACTCAGCTGTGAAAGGAGAAGGGCCCCTCCTGGCTTACAGGGAATTAGGAGACAAACAGGCCTGGCTCTGCCTGGAGTCCATGGCACAGTCTAGGGAGGTTGGGGAGAACCGAGACCACTGGAGGTGGGAGGACTTAATCCAGACCAACTGCGGGCAGGTGCCTGGAGCCCCCGTCCCCTCTGTCCCTCATAATTCTGAAAACTGGCCAGGGTCACTCCAAGGATGGCTGAGGGGGCTCAGAATAGAGCATTGGCCTTGGAGACAGACACGACCCAGGTTCAAAAGTAGGTTTGGCCATTTACTGGCTGGGTGACCTTGGGCAGGTCGCTGCTCTCTGTGCCTCAGCCCCTCAGCTACAAGGGATGCAGTAACAGTACCTACTCTACAGGTTGTTGTGGGGAGGAAATGAAATAGCACATGTAAATTGATTAACAGGCTGCCTGGCAACTGTGATACCCTGGTTAGGGTATTAACGGTAGCTGTTTCTTACAGCCCTCTGGACCATCACCTGCCATCACAATTCCCTTACTTTGACTAGTAATGAACATCCCCATGTTTAGTCGTCACTGCTCCATACCAGGCACAGCTCAACCACTTACATGCATGATTAAATTTAATTATTGCCACATCCCAGGAAGATGGTGGGTTCTATTATTATCTCCATTTACAGATGGGGAAAATGAGGTACAGTGGGGTTCAGTAACTTGCCCTTCATGGCAAAGCCAGAATCCAAACACAGGTGGTCTGAGCTGAGCATAGGTGCCTAACCCCTGGGCTACACTCCCTCTGTCATTGTCAAGAGCAGACTCAGAAACAGAAGACCTGGGAGGCTAAAAAGGAGACACACTGCTCCAAGTCTGAGGTTTCAGATGAGAAACAGGCCCAGAGTGGGTGGGTGCGGTCAGCCCAAAGAGCCCTGTGTGTGAAGGACAGAATCCAAGGCTCTTCCTCCCCAGCCTAATGAGGCTGGATTGACCATTCATTTCTAAAACACAATGTGAGTTTTCCTAATTATAAAAATAGTATAATAATGGCCAGATATCACTGTTTTTTCAATCTGAATTGGGGGGTACATGACTGTTTGTTATCTCCTCTGTGCTTTTAACTATGTTTAAAATATTTCATAAGAAAAGGGAAGGGGGAGTGTAACATGCTCATTGTAGAAAATTCGGAAAATACAGAAAATATATAGAAGAAGAAATCACATTAAATTCCTTGTAAATTTGTACCACTGTCCACATTTTGGTTCATTGCCTTTGAATCTTTTATATGTTTTTTATTTCGTTTTACTTTTTTACATAAGTAACTTGGTACCTATTGTATACTCTATTGTTTAATCTTATATCTACAAAAGAAACATTATATTAGAAGTTTTAAGAAATTAGTGTGTCTCAGAATTAATAGACGGGGGCCCTTGAATATGCATTTTTAACTCACTCTGGGGTGATTATTCTTTGAGAAATAAATCATAAATATAACCCAATATCATTGAAAGCTATTCGAGGACATTCATTTATAAAATTTTAATTTATAGAGTCAATTCAGAATTTTTGTCAAATATTCAAATCATACAGAAGTATATAAAATAAAAAGCAAATGTTCCCCATTTTCTTCTCACACCCCTTCCACAATCGTCCTCCAGTCACACCCACCACCGCCCCAGAAGTAACCACTATTAACAGCTTGAGCACATCCTTCCTGTCTTTCTTTCGTGCTGACGCAAACTCAAGCACACCCTCATTCCAGTTCTGAACTTGCTTTTTTCCATGTATGGTAGCCATCTTTCCATGCTAGAATATTTAGCTCTAACCTATTCTGTGGTAACCATGACTTTTAATCGCTACATAATATTCCAGCCTGTGGGTATATCATGATTACATATTTGCGCTCAACCTTTTCTTTGTAACAGTACTCCTCAGCTCAGCCTCTAGTCTGTTTCTTTCATTTCTCTGGGTCCTGACTCCTCACCCGTTTCCCTCTTTTGCTTTATCATGTTAAAACTAGCTGGTTGGGGCTTCCCTGGTGGTGCAGTGGTTGGTCGTCCGCCTGCCGATGCGGGGGACGCGGGTTCGTGCCCCGGTCCGGGAGGATCCCACATGACGCGGGGTGGCTGGGCCCGTGAGCCATGGCCGCTGAGCCTGTGCGTCCGGAGCCTGTGCTCCGCAACGGGAGAGGCCACAGCAGTGAGAGGCCTGCGTACCGCAAAAAAATACAACAAAAAACTAGCTGGTTGAACGTTCTCAGGACCACGGTTAATAAAGTTGAAAGCCTGGGCAGTGTTGGCCACGTGACCTGGTGGTCTGGGCCAGTGCTGGCTCTCACACTAGTTTCGGTTCCCAGGGACTTTCAGATGCCCTTGCACCTGGCTTTGAGCCGACAGAGTGTCCAGGGGCCCTGTCTTTACCCGTTCAGTCTCTCCATCAGTGTGGGACAAATTATGTTGTTGCTGTCTTTGATTTCCATCAGGAGTATGATGTCACAGCGTTTGATGACCTGTAGAGAGAGAATTCCCAGGGGTGTGAGGCCATTTGCTACAAATAATGAAATCTTCTATTGGGCACTTACTATAACATAACATACTATGTTACTTTTTTTTTTAATTGAAGTATAGTTGATTTACAGTGTTGTGTTAATTTCTGCTGTACAGCAAAGCGACTCAATTATATATACGTTCTTTTTTTTATACTTTCTTTTTAATATTCTTTTCCATTATGGTTTGTCCCAGGACATTGACTATAGTTCCCTGTGCTATACAGTAGGACCTTGTTGTCCATCCATTCTATATGTAATAGTCTGCATCTACTAACCTCAAACTCCCACTCATTTCTCCCCTCCCCTCTCCCCCTTGGCAACCACAAGTCTCTTCTTTATGTACGTAAGTCTGTTTCTGCTTCATAGGTAGGTTCATTTGTGTCATATTTTAGATTCCACATATAAGTGATATCATATGGTATTTGTCTTTCTCTTTCTGACTTACTTCACTTCATATGATAATCTCTAGTTACACCCATGTTACTGCAAATGGCATTATTTCATTCTTTTTTATGGCTGAGTAGTATTCCATTGTGCATATGTATTCAATACCACATCTTCTTTATCCATTCATCTGTTGATGGATGTTTAGGGTGTTTCCATGTCCTGGCTATTGTGAATAGTGCTGCTATGAACATGGGGGGGCATGTATCTTTTTGAATGATAGTTTTGTCTGGATATATGCCCAGGAGTGGGATTGCTGGATCATATGGTAATTCTATTTTTACTTTTCTGAGGAACTACCATACTGTTTTCTACAGTGGCGGCACCAATTTACATTCCCACAGCAGTGTAGGAGGGTTCCCTTTTCTCCACACCCTCTCTAGCATTTGTTATTTGTAGACTTTTTAATGATGGTCATTCTGACTGGTGTGAGGTCATACCTTATTGTAGTTTTGATTTGCATTTCTGTAATAATTAGCGATGTTGAGCATCTTTTCATGTGCCTATTGGCCATCTGTACATCTTTTTTGGAGAAATGTCTTCTTAGGTCTTCTGCCCATTTTTTGATTGGGTTGTTTGTTTTTTTATTGTTAGGCACTATGTTTTAAGTATCAAATTGGGTGCTTTGTTAAATTAACTAACTTCTCTGAAATGAATGATGGACTCCCTGAGGTAAGTACTATTATCATGTCCATTTTAAAGACAAAGAGCCTGAGGTTCTTTCTGGGAAAGCTGAGATAGTATCCAAAGTCACCCAGCTAGAAAGTGGCTGAGGCAGAATGTGAACCTAGGCAACCCAAGCCCAGAGCCCAGGGTCATGACCCCTGCACGTCCTACCTCTTGGCTTTGCTTGAATAATTACAATAATAATAATAGTAAATATTTATTAAACCCTTAGTAAGTGAAGAATACCAGGCTGGATACTGCAGAAATAAAGAGGTATAATTATAATGTTAATAACTGTAAGAGATAACATTTACTGTGAGCCTACTCTGAGCCTCATCAACCCTATCAGATGACTACGATTTTTAGCTCATTAAGCATAGGAGGAAACCAAGCTCAGAGTGATTGAGTAACTAGTTTAAAGTCACACAGCCGGTATAGGTGGTAGAATAGGATTTGAACTCAGGTTAACATGACTGCAAAGCCCAGCATGCTAAACTATTAAAATATAGTTCCACCCTCAAAGACTCATTATCAGTGAGAGAGACAAATGCAAAGAACTAGCTACAATGAGAGGCAAATGAAAGTTGTGCTAAATAAAAGTCAGAGCTGTGAGAATGTTGAGGAATAATTAATTACATCTGCCCAGAGGATCAGGAAAGTCTCCAATGAGGAGGAGGCATTTGAACAGGCCCTGAGAGGTGAGGAAGAACTTAGTAAAAATTCAGGAGAGGCTCCTTCAGGACGAGCAATAACCTGGAAACCAGGGTGCAGACCAAGTCGAAGCCCATTAGAGACGACAGGGACCTTTCTGTGTATGGGGTCCTGGTGGGCTGGAATTTGTTGCTCAAGGACCGGGTATCCCCAGTGTTAATTTCGTCCTCTCCAAAGACATGGAGCGGGGGGAATATGCCACTGGTCCTGTTTCCAGAGCACTTATATGTTCCAGTTTCCTCTCCAAGAAGGGCGTAGAAGAGAGAGCCACCAGCACTGGCCTGTGCAGCCATTAAGAAGTGCTGGGGGCTGAGAATGCACCTGTGTGGTGACAGAGGAGGAAGACTATGTCCAAGTCTGGATCCTTCCATCAATAGGCTTTTGCATTATATACGCTGAGAAAAGCCATAATTCAAAGAGGCATATAGGGCTTCCCTGGTGGCGCAGTGGCTGAGAGTCCACCTGCCGATGCAGGGGACACGGGTTCGTGCCCCGGTCCGGGAAGATCTCACATGCCGCAGAGTGGCTCGGCCCGTGAGCCATGGCCACTGAGCCTGCGCGTCCGGAGCCTGTGCTCCACAACGGGAGAGGCCACAACAGTGAGAGGCCCGCGTACCGCAAAAAAAGAGAGTCGTATAGCACAATGTTCACTGCAGCACTATTTACAATAGCCAGGACATGGAAGCAACCTAAGTGTCCATCGACAGATGCGTGGATAAAGAAGATGTGGCACATATATACAATGGAATATTACTCAGCCATAAAAAGAAACGAAATTGAGTTATTTGTAGTGAGATGGATGGACCTAGAGCCTGTCATACAGAGTGAAGTAAGTCAGAAAGAGAAAAACAAATAACGTGTGCTAGCATATATGGAATCTAAAAAAACAAAAAAAATGGTTATGAAGAACCTAGGGGCAGGACAGGAATAAAGACGCAGACGTAGAGAATGGACTTGAGGATATGGGGAAGGGGAAGGGGAAGCTGGGACAAAGTGAGAGAGTGGCATGGACATAAATACACTACCAAATGTAAAATAGATAGCTAGTGGGAAGCAGCCACATAGCACAGGGAGATCAGCTCAGTGCTTTGTGACCACCTAGAGGGGTAGGATAGGGAGGGTGGGAGGGAGATGCAAGAGGGAGGAGATATGGGGATATATGTGCATGTATAGCTGATTCACTTTGTTATACAGCAGAAACTAACACACCATTGTAAAGCAATTATACTCCAATAAAGATGTTTAAAAAATATATAGGCTTGCATTTCATGGCATCAGCCTTGCAGGGTTCACCAAGGAGAGCTGGGTGCTGGTCATCCAGCCAGCCTGCTGATTTAGTCACTTATCACTGTCAGATCTTTCTGGAAGACATTTTGGAATATGTATCAAAAGCCTTAAAAAATGCATTAATCCTTTGGTCTAGTTTTCCCACTTTGAGGAATGTTTTCCGTTGTAAAAAGGTATCTACTGCTTCTCTACACCTCAGTTTCCTCATCTGTAAGTTGGCATAATGATAGTCATTCCCTCACAGGATTGCTGGAGGACAGATGGATACTTAGAGCAGTGCCAGACATACAGGAGGCAAACAACAAAGTATTGTTATTATTATTACTTACACAGATCGAAGAGGAAGATGCATTGCAACAGAAAAATTGGAAACAACCTAAGCATCCCCAAATAGGAAAGCATTAAATGAAACATGTTGCAAACACAGCATAAGGCATTAAAAGTTGTGTTTTAAAAGAATATTAATAACATGTGAAATACTTCTCATATAAAAGCAGAATACAAAACTGATGATATAGGGTGTCTCCATGCTGCAAAATAGATGCAGATTTATGTATTTATTTTTGCGTAGAAAAATGCCCGTAACAAAGTTACCCAAGTACCAACAACTGTTATCTTCAAGTGATAAGATACTTCTTTATATGTTTCTGTATTTTCAAAATAGTCCATAATGACTATTTTTAATTTAATAAAATTAATTTGTAAATTATAAGTTTATAATTTAAAAATTATACCTCTATAATTTCAAAAAATTAAGCTGTTATTAAGAAAGAAAATTGCTTTATGAGGAAGGAATTGTGGGTGAAGAAGTGATGGCCAATATTTACGAAGACATGACAGGTGTGATCATAGCTTATTTAACATAAGTTAAATGAGTTGTCTTATATAAAGCGTCTACAGTGCCTGGCATATAGTGGGCTTAGCGAAGGCTTTATAAATGTTAGCTCTTATCATGGACTCATTACATTTTCACAATAACCCTTTCTTGATGAAAGGCACGGGATTGGGGGGGGTGGGGGGCTCAGGGAGGAGAAAGGCCTTCTGGCGCACCCGGCTGCCAGGTGGAAGCTGAACCCAGGGCTCCTGGCGCTCCCACCATAATGTGGTGCCTCTGGGATTTTCTAAGGTAATAAAACCCAGAGTCCTGGGAAAGGTTTCAATTCCAGCATCAAAAATAAATTAACCTCTAAATAAAGAGAGTCAACTGCCTCTAGAAGAATGTGAACACAGTCCCAAGACATTGGTCAGATTACCCAAGGAAAGTCTTATCTAAGTGGGGAGAAAGATTAGAATTGGAAGTTGGGATAAGGTTAATGGCTGGAGGGGGAGAGAATGAGGAATAAGCACGCACGCACGCACGCACGCACGCGCGTGCGCGCGCGCGCGCGCGCGCACACACACACACACACACACACACACACACACACGCTACCTTCACCCTAGGGACTAACTTCAGTTAAATTCCTCCTGAGTCTCTTAAAGTCTGAAAGCTGTAGAGAGAGTGTGAAGCGTGTCCAGCGATCCTTCTGACAGGAAGGGGGGCTCACCTTCACAATGACATCCATGGCATTACAGTTTGCCTTCTTGGATTTCCCAAAGGACCTCACATTAAAGGAGCAGATCCTCAGGGCCAGGGCGCTGTGGGTGGAGAGGAGAAGCAGCAGGGAGGCCAGCAGCAGAGACATCCCGGGCTCTCCTGGCTTCAGGGCTTGAAGAGAGAACAGCAGTGTCTGGAGAGCAGGCTCCTGGCCACCGCCTCAGGCTCGGCTGACTTGTTTAGCTGACTTGTTAAGTCTGCAGATAACAGGAATTACTGGATTCCTTGTTGCTGTTTTCACTTCTCTGAGGAACTGAAGATCATGGGCTTCATTCCGCAAGGAAATGAAGGAAATGAGCTAGTTTGGGGGATCCCTTGTTTTTGTCACTCAGGTGAGGAAACTGGTCAGTTGAATCTAGGCACCAGTCTCTGCAAAGTCGCTCTTAACCCAGCTGGAAGCCAGCTGTGACATCTGGTCATCTCTGCTGTGGTCAGATACCATGTACCTTCTCCTGGAAATTGATGAACTCGGAAATGGTCCACCCCAGAGGGCACCTGGGGTGTGGAGCCTTCTGCAGGGGGAAGGGGTGGGGCCGGGTCAGTGGGAAATTCTGCCAGATTTTCTGCCATCACTGGGATTTGGCAGCTAGCTATCCCTGGACACACCCAGATTCCAGCTCACCAATGACCCTGATGGGCATAATTAAGATAGAGTCTGGTTTGTTTTTTAATTTAATTTAATTAATTTGTTTGTTTATTTATGGCTGCATTGCATCTTCGTTGCTGCGAGCGGGGGGGGCTATTCTTCATTGCGTTACATGGGCTTCTCATTGTGGTGGCTTCTCGTTGCAGAGCACAGGCTCTAGGTGCGCAGGCTTCAGTAGCTGTGGCACGTGGGCTCAGTAGTTGTGGCTCACAGGCTCTAGAGCGCAGGCTCAGTAGTTGTGCCACATGGGCTTTGTTGCTCTGTGGCATGTGGGATCTTCCCAGACCAGGGCTTGAACCTGTGTCCCCTGCATTGGCAGGCGGATTCTTAAGCAATGCTCCACCAGGGAAGCCCCTGGCAGGCAGATTCTAAACCACTGTGCCACCAGGGAAGTCCAAGTCTGGTTTGAATTACATAATTATTAAGGCAAGTTTTGTTGTGTACAGTTTAACATACCAAGTACTCACAGTGTGTTGCCAGGAAAAGCAGTTGCTTGTCTGCTGGGATGGGTCTAATACCCTTGCACTTAAACCCCTGGAGAGATCCATGATTCAATCTGATATTATTTAATGTTTATGAGAGAGAGTTGTGTGGCCCCAAGAAAGGAAGGTTTTGCAAGAATTGTAGGATTTCAGTCCAAGTAAAATAGCTTTTAGAGATTTGGGCAGGAAGATAGGAAGGTCTGAAAAGCCAAAGAAGTTTGTTTTATATGGATAAAATCCAATCAAGTTATAAACCCAAGTAGGATTTGCAGACTTTGGCAAGGAAAATTCTTCTGCAAAGAGGGGAGGTAATGAGAATAACTTGAAACCAAGCGTTGGGATCTCCGGACCACCCCCTCCTGAAGTGATGGGCATGTGGTCACAGCCACCGGGAAAAGCGTGCAGGTATCTCCAACATACATCCAGTCAGCATCCTGGCTGAAGTCTGTGGCCAAGTATACCCAGGCATTCTAAGGAGATAATACCAGTTAGTACATGAAAGGAAGTAATGGCTTCCTGAGCTCATGGAGATGTGAATCTCCCTCTTGGCCACAGCCCAGGCCTTAAGCCTGGTTGAATCACTGGTGAAAAGTTGGTGGTGATTATCCTCCCTGGCGAGTGGACATCTTCTTACCAGAGGAAGATTTAGAAGTCAGTGTGGCACACGTTTTTTGTGTCTTTCAAGAAGGAATTTGTACATATGTGGTTTTTATGATCTTGTAACATATGAGAGATTTTGACCTATTAAATTGGCGATCTTGTAATCCCAACATAAAATGTGCAATTGAGGGAATCTTTTTATTTTACTTTATATATATATATTTTTTTTTTTTGCGGTACGCGGGCCTCCCACTGCTGTGGCCTCTCCCGTTGCGGAGCACAGGCTCCGGACGCGCAGGCTCAGCGGCCACGGCTCATGGGCCCAGCCGCTCCGCGGCATGCGGGATCCTCCCGGACCGGGGCACGAACCCACGTCCCCCGCATCGGCAGGCGGACGCTCAACCACTGCGCCACCAGGGAAGCCCTTGAGGGAATCTTTTTAGATTTGTAACTTGAAGTTGAGACCTTACTAAGTTTCTGTACAGTTCTGGAACATTTATAAGAATTTTGGGTTAACAGTGTTTTATAAGTTTAATTTTTTTAGACTTAGAATTATTTAGTATTAAAAAGGGTGGTTTTTTTGTTAGTTCAGAAATTTGAAGACGTTTACAAGGAAACAGGTGTATAAAAGAAGTTTAAAATGTTTGTAAATGGGTCCATAACCTTTATGGGTAATTATTTAAGTTTGTTGGATGTAGAATCGCCAGATTTAGCAAATAAAAGTACAGAACACTAGATCAATTTGAATTTTAGATCATTCATACTTAATTGGGCATCCTGTATTTTATCTGGCAATACCAATTGGGCTTAAAAAAGGAATAAACACTTTTTTCTTAGGTTTATTTATTATTTATTTATTTTATTTATTTTTCTCTGCGTCAGGTCTTAGTTGCGGCACGCAGGCTCTTTGTTGAGGCAAACGGGCTTCTCTCTAGTTGTGGCTTGCAGGTTTTCTCTTCTCTAGTTGTAGTACATGGGCTCCAGGGTGTGTGGGCTCTGTAGTTGTGGCACACAGGTTTCAGAGCACGTGGGCTCTGTAGTTTGCAACATGCAGGCTCTCTAGTTGAAATGCGCCTCCCCTGCATTGTAAGGCGGATTCTTTACCCTGGACCACCAGGGAAGTCCCAGGAATAAAAACTTTTATAAGCTGAACTTAAAAGCATGACACTGTCTAAGGCAATAACCACCCTGCCAGGGTCCTGGGAAAGGTTTTAATTCCCAGCATCAAAAATAACCTAAACTAGGGCTTCCCTGGTGGCGCAGTGGTTGAGAGTCCGCCTGCCGATGCAGGGGACACGGGTTCGTGCCCTGGGCCGGGAACATCCTACATGCCGCGGAGCGGCTGGGGCCGTGAGCCATGGCCGCTGAGCCTGCGCGTCTGGAGCCTGTGCTCCGCAATGGGAGAGGCCACAACCGTGAGAGGCCCGCGTACCGCAGAAAACAAAAACAAAAAACAAAAAAACCCTAAACTATAGGATAAGTGAGTCAATTAATGTTTTTGAATTTTTAAGTTTGATAATTTTTTTAAAATAAATTTATTTATTTTTGGCTGTGTTGGGTCTTTGTTGCTGTGCGCGGGCTTTCTCTAGTTGTGGCGAGCAGGGGCTACTCTTCCTTGCGGTGCGTGGGCTTCTCACTGCGGTGGCTTCTCTTGTTGTGGAGCGCGGGCTCTAGGTGCGCGGGCTTCAGTAGTTGTGGCACACGGGCTCAGCTGCTCCACAGCATGTGGGATCTTCTCGGATCAGGGCTGGAACCTGTGTCCCCTGCATTGTCAGGCAGATTCTTAAGCACTGTACCACCAGGGAAGCCCCGGGGACATCTTTTAAATTTGATAATTTGAATATTAATTTGAAAAATAAAGGAACCTCTGATTAGTGGTTTCTGTATATAGAAACTGCCCTTGAGGACTTCAAAAAAATCACATGAACAGACAGAAGAGATTGACCCCATTCTTTAATTAGCACATTGACTGCATGGACTTGAACTTCTTTTTTAAAAGTGCCTGGATTCTGGAAGTAAAATCCTAAGAGTCAAATTTAACTGAATCTAGCTAAGTGCAAGGGCTTTTGCTGAGTGCTTTCTGTTTCATCTCACTTAACACTCCCCCAGGTCCTTATTATGGTCCCTCCATTTTGCAGATGAGTAAACTGAGGCTTGTGCCCAAGGATACACAGCCAGCATGTTGTAGAGCTGGGATTCGATCCCAGTCACTCTGACTCAGGGTCAGCCTCCTCCCCCACCAAACCAGGCACACCACACCTCAATGAGAAATCTGCAGGACTTCCCTGGGGGCGCAGTGGTTAAGAATCCGCCTGCCAATGCAGGGGACACAGGTTCGAGCCCTGGTCCGGGAAGATCCCACATGCCGCGGAGCAACAAAGCCCACATGCCGCAACTATTGTGCCTGTGCTCTAGAGCCTGAGAGCCACAGCTACTGAGCCCGTGCACTGCAACTACTGATGCCCTCACGCCTAGAGCCTGTGCTCCACAAGAGAAGCCACCGCAGTGAGAAGCCCGCATACTACAACTAGAGAAATCCTGCGTGCAGCAATGAAGACCCAATGCAGCCTGGCAGTGAGGAGATAAAAGAACTTCCACTTTTTATTGTATACACTTGGGTGTTGTTGGAATTTTTTTTTAAACAAAAATATGTACTTGTTCAGTAATTAGAAAAATAAAGTGCTAAAAGCTTTTTATTCTTTTAAGCTGATTAAACAATGCCCATGCCAGCACGTCCTTCTGTGCCAACTTAGCCTCAGGCAGCTCTCACCCAGCCCCAGGAGTGACTGATAATGTGAGGGGCTGGACCGACAAGCCCGCACTGGTGGCCCAGGGACAGCAAAAACCCTCTGTTCCTCCTTCTGTCGGGCTTCCTTGTTGGGAATTGGGAGTTTGAGGCCATCTCTTCCGGCAGCCTGGAGCCTGGAAGGAAAGGCAGGCACTCACCTGACCCACATCGAACACTCTGAGGTGTCCTTCCTTCTGCCATTTAGTGGCTATGGATGACATTCCCTGTGGCATATGAACTTCCAAACACTAGTCTGTAAGATGCTCCTGAAAACAAGGATACACATATATTGGAGATTTATAGTGCACATTAGCATATTAATGCTAATATTAAATGCTGAAAAGTCCTGTCATAAACAAAGCTGCTTAACTATGTTGGAACAGTATGTCCTGAATTTACTGTCCATGGAACACTCTTCTTCACATAATTCCTTTTAGTATCTTGAGCTATGTCCACCTTGGGAAACACCATCATGATTGAGCGGGGACAGTCTGGTCCCCTTAAAGCCTTAAGCACTAGTCCTTGTTAGTAGTCCCTACTGAAGAGTCCCATGTGTGTCATATGAGTGGGCAGACATGAGGATCAGCAGTTGAGATGCATGGCCCCGGACACCACAGGCAGCCACAGCCACTCACCATGGGCACTGGTGGGGCAAGAGTCACTGGGGGAGACAAAGGGTACCTCAGAATTTGAGGAAGGCAAGATGGGGATTCCGGCAGGAGCGAAAGTGTCACAGGCTGAGTTAC